ACATGGCCACAGGTTTGGAGGTAGACTTATTAACCACCTGGCTATGGAGTTGACACAATGTTGCCTGCTCAACGTGAGGGAGACTTGAAACATGTGGTGATAAAAGGGAATACTGCAGAAGAATGAATGCATCTGAATTAAGGTGTTGTTGCAGAATATTGACCACAGACTGCCAAGAGAATGAACCAATCTGTCTGAGAATAACTACAGCCAGAATACCTCTTAGACATGAGGACGGTGAGACTACCTCTCATGTACTTTGAAGACATTTTCAGAAGAGGACAGTTCCTGGGAAAGGGTCCCTTACCAAAAGAATTTGGCAAGTAGAATGTCCATTTCACACCACACACATCGGTAGAATACTTCAATTTCTTCATCACTCGCTTTACTGGTTGCTGTATAAACTCTTTGTATGAAGATAGATATTATCCTAGCACAGAACACATTGCACTTCAAGATAGATCTTGAAATGTCCTTTATGATGATTATTGCCATGCCATTCTCCTTTAAATCTGTCATTCCTGGAACAGTGACCCATATGACTGTGTCTGAGTCAAAGTGGCCAATGCAAGTCCACTTCAACTAATTAATGCCTAGGATACTGAGTTAGTTAGTTTGTTGTGCCAACCTGGCTGATAAACACATGTGGGATTAATTGAAGGCTGGAGGGATAAATGGCTTGGTGAGCTTGGCCTTTCTGGTTCTTGGGTCTCTTGCTTTGTGATGGTCACACCAGGGTGCAGCTGCCTTAGCAGTTCCCTGCTTCAGCTTGCAAGGCTCACTTCCTGCAAGACATCTGCCAGCAGAAGCCACATGGACCTACCCTGATGCAGCCCCTGGGTGCTGGAGCAGCCATGTGGAGACCGCTGCCAGCGCTGAGATGTTTAAAAATTCACTGACTTGGCTTTCCTCCTGCAGTCAGTGTCATAGTGTCTGTTTTGTGAGATAGAGGAGGACTTTGTGGACTGGTATTGGACATATGAGCTCATGGGTTAATGCTGGACTTATGGGCTTGGGCAGCACTGGGTTGGGATATTTTCTCGATGTGCACTTAACTTTTACATAAAACTCTCTCTTGTACGTGAGTTTCTGTGGATTTGTTTCTCTAAAGCGCCCCAGACTAACACAGGTACCAATCATTATGTGTTCCCTTTCATTTTTGATGACTTTCAATATTCCCTAGTTCATACTTGGTATTGTCCAAGTTCCAATTATTAATAGATATTTTTACCTGTTTCTTTCCTTTTTGAGCCCTGTCACATAAACCTAGGAAGGTCCCTAAAGCTTTCCTTCAGAAGGCTTTGCTCCATTCATGTCATTATGATGGACTCTACTTTGAGAAGGCAGGTGGTCTCCAGTCATATTTTGAGTGTCTTCCTTCGGAGAAGCTCATCTTCTGTCATCATCTCAGAATGCTCCTACTCATGAGGTTTCAGAATGCGACAACGTTTCACTTCTATCCGAAAGGTTTTCAGTGGCTAATCCCTCAGACATAGATAGCTGTGTTCCACTGGGTTGACTAGAGAAACAAATCCAGAGACACTCATGTATGTGAAAGAGAGAGTTTTATATCAAAGAGTAATTGTATATTAAGAAAACATCCTAGCCCGCTCCAGATCAAGTCCACATGTCCCATATTAGCCCATAGGTCTGCTACTAGTCCATAAATGCCTCTTCAGACTCACACAGCACATGCAATGGTGCTGAATGCATGAAGATCACAGGTCGGTGGGTGAAAATTCTTGTGTATCCAGGGTCGGTGGAAGCATCTCAGGGCTCTGACTGCCATCAACTTGGCTCGAAGTGGAAGGTGAGAGAGAGAGAGAGAGAGAGAGAGAGAGAGAGAGAGAGAGAGAGAGAGAGAGAGAGAGAGAGAGAGAGAGAGAGAGAGAGACCTGCCTCTTCTGATGGCAAATCAAGAGAGTGGAAGTTCACAGAATCCTCATAAGAAGACCATGCCCACAAGGAGGCATCATCAGGCTGTGACCTAATTGACAGGCTAGACTCCACCCTTAGACTTATTTACCAAGTTGACATGAAATTATGTAACTACCTCAATAGCCTGTTTTATCTTCATGGTCGTTTGTTAGTCTGGAAGCTCTATTGAAACCTGTTTACTTTGGGTGAACCTGGTTGCATTTAAAATGTAAAAAGGATGCTGCTGAGAAATGGTTTATCTGCAAAGTAAACTGTTTAACTGATGATTTAAACAACAACATCTTGAACTCTGAACTACAACTCTACAATTGTCATGCCATTTGCACTCTGTGGAAGAATTCTCATCTTTAATGTGAGAGACCCATTTTATCTAGAGCCCACCAATGTAATACACATGTACCCATCACACATCTGTCAGTGAAGGTTTTCATATGGCAATGATGCTAAACATGTTTTGGCAGAGTTACCAGATTAAGATGAATGAGAGAAAAGGGTCTGATGAATTCTGAAAATACGGATAAAAACCCAGTGGATAAAAACAGGGAGCTCCAGGATTGAGCATGAGGTCACCATATGTCAGGAGCCATTGATGACAGCTAGCAGCAATAACCAGATCACTGTTTGCCCTTAATGTTAGTGCCCATACTTTAAATACAGACTTAATGTGTTCCTTGTGGAGCCAAACATGTTAGAGGGAAAATCCTACGGTGATTGTGCACTCTAACAAATTCTAATAACTACTTATTTGACTGTGAGACCTATAGTAAGTCATCTTAATATCTTGATTGCTTTTCTTTATATAAAACTTTGAGTCTAATATACACTGCATTGATGGTGCAGTGGTTAAATGTTAGACTTCTACCTGAGAAGTTGGGACCCACCAGTTGTTCAACGAAAGATGTAGGAGTCTGCTTCCTTGAGGACTACAGTCTTAAAAACCCTATGGGCAGCTTCACTTTCTCTTATACAGTCACTATGGTAGTTACATAATCTGGTGTCAACTTGAGACTATTAAGATTGAAGGGGTGGAGTCTAGCCTGTCAATCAGGTTACAGCTTGATGACCTCATTTGGAGGTGCAACAGAGATAAATAGCTCAATGGAGGTCAGACACACTATCTCTGCTACACATTCTTGTTGATGAGCCACCTGAAGCTACGCTGATGGAGCCAGAGCCGGGGAGTTGGAGGAGTCATGTGGAGACCCCTACCAGTGCTGAGATGCATTCACCACCACTGGATCAACAAGACTTTCCACCCACTGGCCTGTGATCTTCCTGCATTCCGTGTCATCACATATGTTGCATGAGTCTGAAGAGAAATTTATAAATTGGTATCTGATATGTGGGCTAATATCAGATTTTAGACTTGCTGTCAGCTGGACTGGGATGTTTTCTTAATATACAATTACTCTGATATAAATTTCTATATTACGCACATATGGGTGTTTCTGGACTTGTTTCTCTAGTCAACTCACACTCTCACAGTCACTATGCATCAGAATTAACCTGAAAGTAATCTATCAGTATTATGTGTCTAAAATACAATTATGTGGTCTAAAATATAGATAATGTGGTAATGAGCTTCAGAGTTCATGTATGCTGCTTGATATGCCACTAACTATTTTCTAAAACCTAAATAATGTGTTTACACAATCTGATTCTTCTATGAATATTTTTGAAGTTGTTTTCAATTATTTTTCTCTTAAAACAAAACACACACACACACACACACACTGGGCTGCTCACTGGGCTGCTAACCTCAAAGTCAGCATTTGCTCCTCAGGAAGAGGAAGATGTTTTTTTCACTCCTGTAAAGGATTCTTGAAACACTCAGGGACAGTTCTACCCTGTCCTATGGGGTTTCTGTGAGTCAGAATTTACAGAGAAAGTGAATTTTTAAAATGTTATTGAGGATAGTATGACCCAAGATTCATCAAGAGAACTTATTTTTTCTCTGACCCAATATCCTACCATGTGATCTAAATTAGGAGAGGAAATGCAGTTGTAGACCATGACCTAGGACTACCCTGGTGATGAGAAGTCAGGATATGTATGTAAAGTGCAGTCTTCTTTTGTACCTTGTACCAGACTCATCACCATTGAACTTCAAATGATTTAAGTGGGGGACCTTCAAGGACAGAATTTATGTTAGCATAGCTTTGGCACCATGGTGCAGTTTCTTCCCCTGTGAATGAGCAGGATGACTTTTGACAGATCCTATATCTTTGCTCTAAGACAAGTGAAGGTTTATAACTACTAATCCATCATAATCCTTCCTTGGTAGAAAAGTTCCCTACAAGTTCCCCTTTTCCTTTTCAAGAAGACAGACAGAATATAGATTTAAAAGGGGTATAGATTTCATAAGAGTTTTGAAAACTAATTATGAAGACAAAAATTCAAATAAACTTACCTCATACACTTGTAGCCTTCTGCTAAAATTTACTTAGAAGATGAATCTTATGAATCTCAGCTGAAACCTAGAAATGATACTTCATGGGCATTTGTCAATGCTTTTTATTGTGGGAGCTTGTGGAGAGTGGGGACTTTTGAGGAGAGGGGACACTGTGATGCAGACTTTACAAGATTTCCTTCCAGAGCAATTATGTAGATAAAGTGAAGGAGCCAATTACGTTGGACAGAGCAATACGACACATTTAAATATTTATTAATGGCTCTTAAAAACTTCTTTATGGAAGAACTATTTTTGTGCAGCGATGGAAGAATGCCTTTTCCACACTTAATTTTTTTTTTTTACTACACTGGATATTTACAGTAATTCACCCAAAAGCTCACAAATGCATGTGGCAAACGTTCAGCCTCAAAAGAAATGGATAAGTTTAATGTTTTTATTTTTCATCATAAGATACTACCAATTTGGCCCACAGTTTCCTCATAGCATTTTTCACTTCCTTATTCCTGAATGTGTAAATCACAGGATTTAGCAGGGGCGTTACAATGGTATAAAATATGGCCACCATCTTATCGATGGAGAACGAAGCTGGAGGTCGTGCATACTCATATATGCACGGAACAAAGAACAGCACGACAACAGCCATGTGAGAGCCACACGTGGAGAGAGCTTTCTGCCGACCTTCAGAGCTGTGAGCTCTCAGTGAGAGTAAGATGACACAATATGACATGAGCAACAATAAAAAGTTTATGATGCAAATAAATCCACTATTGACAACTAGGAAAAGGCCAAGGGCATGAGTGTCGTTGCAGGCAAGCTCCAATAATGGGAACAAATCACATATGAAATGATTGATAACATTGGGGCCACAGTAGGGCAAATGGAAAGTACAGAAAATTAGTATTATAGAATGCAAAAAGCCTCCAGCCCAGGCCACCCCCATCAGGATGCCACAGAGCCTCCAGTTCATGATAGAGGGGTAGTGCAAGGGCCTGCAAATAGCCACATAGCGATCAAAGGCCATAACGGAGAGGACAATGATTTCCACCCCAGCAAAGAAGTGTTCAGCAAAGAGCTGGGTCATGCAGCCCTCGAAGGAGATGGTTTTCCTTTCATAGAGAGAGTCCACAATCATTTTCGGGGCTATGACCGAGGAGAAGCACGCATCCAGGAAGGACAGGAAAGCCAGAAAGAAGTACATGGGGGAGGCCAGGAGAGCTGGGCTGCTTATGATGGTCACAACGATAATCAAGTTGCCCCCAACCGTGGCTATGTAGATGAACAAAATTGCAACAAATAGGAATTTCTGGACATTTGGATTCTGTGACAATCCTAAGAGGACAAACTCAGTGACAAAGCTCTGGTTTTGCATGATTTCAGAAGAAAGGGTGATAGCACTGATCACGTAGACACTGAAATGGTGAGAAAACGAGCTTTGTCACAAATCAGTATGTGGAATTAACATAGTCTTCAACAGGTTGGTGCATCCTGCATTAAAGTTATTTTCCGTGCTTCTGTTATTGCTGATGAGGAGCACTGGGCTGCTAACTGCATGGTCAGCAGTTCAAAACCACCAGCCACTCTCCAGGTGAAACATAGGGCTTTCTACTCACATAAAGAGTTACAGTCTCAGAAACTCCCAGGGGCAGTTCTACCGTGCCCTGTTAGGTCACTTTCAGTTGGCACCGGCATGCTGCCAGTGAGTGAGAGATTCTTGTTGAGAACAAAATATTAGGGATTTATTGAAGATGGCAACGAAATGTCAAGCAGAAATGACATTAATTTTCTTTTAAGTGAGACTTTCAATATGGTGGATGGAAAACATTCATATGTGGTGAGGATACAAAGCATTCTCATCTTAGATAGCATTTCTGATTAGTTAGTAGTGGGCACCTAGAAATAATTATTGAGATTGATCTGGAACGTAGCCAAGCTCTGAAGAAAAGAAAACTATAATAGACTAGTTAGGCCTCCCTTTGGCATAACATGGGAACCAGGATGACTTGGATGGAAAGGCATCTCTCATCTGAAGACGTCCTTATCTACAAATGGAAGAAGAGATAACATGCAGTTCAACGGGCACTGGGAAATTATACAAATCCCCCCAAATATTACTATACAAATCTGAGTCTAATTAGGAATTTAAGATGAAGTTATCATCCCTGTAGAAAATAAAGGTTGATGGAAAAGTGCCTAGCTCTGTGCTTAGCAAGCAATAAAATCACATGCAATGTCCAGTAGCGTATATTTTTATTGACTATTTGAAAAAGGAAACAGAAGCTGGTAAAAAGCATACCTTCTTCAGAGTGATGGACTGATGACTTAATAAAGTTAATGCAAGAAAAGCAATTTCTCAGTGCCTAGTGTCTAGTCTAATTAGGCCTACATTACTGGGATACATGCTTTGAGAGATTAAGGACAAAAAATAACAAAAATGGAGGTGATATTTCCTGGTGTCATTCCATTGGATCAATAAGGAAAGGGTAAGAAATTGTCTTTTCTCTGGAAGAATTCAAAATAATAGTGGCCTTTCTACCAGTTTCGTACATTTCTCTAGGTTAAAACTTGTGATTCCTTTGTTCATGTATAATACTGTGCCTCACAGAAGTAAACAATAAATTATTTATAACCATAATGTAATGGTCCAAAAATATGTGTATAAGTCTTATATGACAACAGCCAAATACATAAAGAATATGACCAATATTTTGAATATAAATGAGTTTTTAAATTAACCAACTGCTAATAAAAGGTGGACCAAAATAATCAGGTAGATCTCCTTAAGCTATGTAAGTTTCAAAATTGCATCATTTTATTATAAAAACAGTTCATATATGGCTTACTTGATCATTTTAGGACTATGATGAGGTTCAATTTTGAAAATGTGAAAAGGCTTGTGCTACAAAAAATATATCAGACAAGGTGCTAGAATAAAAAATGCAAAGAAAACAGCAACACCTCCCCAACAAAAAGACAATACACTTTGGAAAGGACAGAGGCCATGGACAGACCCTTCAGCAAAGAAGACAGTCAGGAGGCCAAAAGGAAATCCCCTCAATGATGGCCATTAAAACGCTCCCTGCCACTGAGCCCATGCCGACTCACAGAGCCCTGAGGACAGGGCGGAACTGCCCCCGTGGCTTCAGAAAAGCTGCTTCTTTCTCCTGTGGAGTGCACAGAGATTTCGAATAGCTGACCTTGTGGGTAGCAGGCCAACCCAGAGCCACTAAGCCATCAGGGATACTTTTGATGAACATCAAAACAACAATGAGCTATCGTCTCCCCCAGTGTTAGCAGCAAAAGTTATTGAAGGGAAAGCAGCAGATCCTGGCGAGGACATGGAGACTGGACCTCGCATGCGTTGCTGTGGAGACGAAGTGTGGTGCCACTGCTGAGGAAAGTAAAATGGTGCTTCCTTCAAAACTGAGAAGGAAAATGCCCTGCGAGCCAGCAAAAGTTGTAACGCAAACATAGGAGCATCCATGTTCAGCAGAGCATTATCCATAACAGCAAAAGGAAGGAAAAGACCCTACGTTCCCATCAATGGGTGAATGGATAAACAAACAAGGATACATACACACGATAGATTACCACCCAGTAATAAATAATCATGAATATGAAAAATATCTAATGATATGGATAAACCTGAAGAACATTGTACTGAGAGAAATTAGTCAATTACAAGAAGCAAATATTGTAGTAAGATCACTATTATATGAAAGGTGAAGGAAATGTTTTCACATGGAAACATTCTGTGACAGTTACCGAGCATGGAAAGGAAAGGGAAGATACATCACTCACTATGGGTAAACACCTCTTAAACTGGGTGATGGGAAGGAAATATTCAATAAGAGGGAGATCAAAACTAAATAATCAAGTCCATAGGAATCACCAGGAAGAGCACCAGAGTTATAAGCAATAGAGATGAGCAATATTGAAGATACCCGCTCACTGTGGTTGACTAGATGGCCATTCATAGAAGCCTGAGACAGCGGAGTCGAGGTTCTACAGAGGATCTATCAGGCTGTAGATATTTCCGGGAGCTGCAGCTTCATCTTTTTCATGTAGAGTTGCTGGTGGGTTTAACCTGTCGTCATTGTGGTTAGTAACTCACTGCCCAAGCCACTGTGCCACGGGCCCAGTCTTGAACTCATCATAAGAACAATAAGCGGATTGAATGCATTGGCAGACACACAAGAAAAGCAGCTGCGAGAAGGTGTATGGGGCTGAATCTAGAAATGCATGAAGCGTTGACAGAAGAGATGAATGCATATATATTTACATATTCTGTCAATATCTCCATGAATATAGTAGAGCACAAAGGAAGCAAAGTTTTGAAAACGTCCTAACTGTTCCCTGGGCCTGGAGACTTTTGACCATAGTCTTGTGTGACCTTGGAATCAATTGTCACCACAGAATTCTAAAAGAACACATTTTATTTTGGCGGGTACCGAATGAGGTCTTAAAAATGTAGGAGTGGCAATATAGGGTACAACTAGTGGTTCCTTCTCATCCATAACAAAGGAGAGCGAAGAAAGCCAAATGTGTATGAAAATGCAAATCACACTGAAAAAGAATAGCTTTTCACTGGAGGAAACATGTTTTACTTCCTGGAGACTCCGGCTTAGAAGCTGTTGGGACACCTTGACAGTCAAACAAAGTTCTCCACTGAGATAAATAAGGTATACAAGTCTGAGAATGAAAAATATTCCAACAAGTTACTGTAAGTCCCACCTTATCTGAATTCAAATCCATTAAGGGAGAGCTACTTTGACCAATGATAATTATGCGTGCCGTGTCACTGATAACACTCATCTGCCGCAAAGGAGCCTGAGAGTTGGGTGGGGACAGCAGTCACGGAGAAACCCAGAAAGCCCTAGAGAAATGTCAGAAGGTATTAAGCCCAATTTCAAACAAATCTGAAACAGAAGACCCGTTCCTGTGATTCCGTTTGGCAGTTTAGAAGGGAAGGAAGATGAAACACTTCGAAGACTCAAGAGGTACCGGCACAGTGGAATCCAGTGAGGAAATCACTAATAATCAGTGCAGAAAGTGGATGAAGGATGAGATAGAAATGACGCAGGTGTGAGGTTGCTCATGTGATAGCTCATTTAGGGGCCTCTGGTGTGGCTCCCCACTCCTCCCAGATCCTCCTGACACTGAAAGGATCAAGATTTACCAGCATCAGTCCTACAAAATCATTTTAGGAGATTCCACAGGGGGTTAAAGGCTCCACCACGGACATTTATTATCACTCGCAGTTCTCACATTCTGTGATCCTGGCTATTCAAAACAATATTTTAATTTCGATGAGTAGCCACTACCTAGTCAAGCTCGTCTATTCTGTTTTGTCCATCTTTCTTTCTGTGAAATGAAGTTAAATTCTACCATTTATTTGCACCCATTGTTATTCAGATTTTATATGTGGGTTGCTAGTATAAAAGGTTGAATGCATTTAAAAACCAAGGATGCAAAAATAAACAGTGACAATACTGCTAAAATGGCAATGAAACCATTTCCATGCCTGTAATGTCTGGAAAATATATTGATAAATATTTTCAAACTCATAGACATATTTATATTATTCATACCAGTTATCCAACTCAAAAAAAATCATTTTAAAAGTGAAATGAGGTAGAAGAAATTTTATAACATGAGATGATACAGTGTCATTTGTAGCAATACAATTTAGAAATACCCCACATATCCAATAATAGTATTATATTTTGGTAAGTCAGACTACTTCAAATTAATGCTGTATATAAAGTGCTAAATAATGAAATAAAGGAATAGATAGAAAGTGAAATGTTTTTACAATATATTAAATAAGAACACTGTAAACAATTTAATACACTTACCCCTTTGTCTAGATACTTTATTATAATTTTTAACTCCAGAAGGGAACATAGTGCCATAGTAGAGATTTTTGTCTTTTTAAATATGTACCTTTACTTAATCATGGAGATACTTAAAATTTTATTTTTTAATCAAGGTAAAGCACACACCACCACATATCCCATCAACTGAACATTTTAGAAAATAAGGAGGGTTTTGGATATCATTTTATTATTTATCTGTAAATAGTAAATACTGGATTATCACATTAACCCATAAACACTAAATTAATAGAATAGGTAGAATAATCATAGTAACATTATATTAGTGAGACTCTTAATTAAGACTTAAAATTATTGTAAACTTTCTACAAGCAACCCTACCATGAGATCCAACTTTATCCAGACCAGGTACTCACTCTATCAATTTTAAATCCTTGTCTCTATTTTAAGAAGCAGCTATTTCCATATTTCTCCTTGCTTGATAGCCATATAGTTCACCAGAGATCTCTGAGGGTCCCTTCAAGGTCAGGTTTGAACTGTTGACTCTGGAGTATCACTTGGGACTGTGACCTTGGGCATTTGC